TTGTCTGCTTGCAATGGTTTTTACACAGGTTCGCTCATCAAATGGCATCTTTCTACCTCAGGGTTGCTTCGCTGCAGCTTCTGAAGTGTTAAAGCACTTGAAGGAACGATTTCCACCCAACAGTCAGCATGCCCAGGTAACCTCCTTCTGCGTGCCGTCAGGTTTATATCTGCAAAGACCATCTTTACGATATCGTTGTCAAACTGGGGCAGGTCAGAATCTCCCCTCCGTTTCTCATGGTTCCTTTACCCATGTGCGCAGGGGCGCGTAATGAGACTCTGTAAGCTGAGTTCATTTAAGAAAGCTGAGAAGCTAAGATTTACAGAAGGATACGTTTTTCCTTCTCGCCTTCACAGTTTAAGTTAGTATCCTGTCCATCTCTAACTGTAAAGGAATGAGACGGAAATCATCAGTGCCCTTGGCTAGATCAGGAATTATGTCTCTTACATGGCAACTCTAATCTTTCCCTCCCAAAGTCGAGTGAGTTTTTGGGAACATGGACCCACAGAGCAGATAAATTTTAAAGCAGTACAGGATCCTCTGTTCCTTACTGCCTGAGTTTCCATCTCTGAGGGGGCCAAGAAAGTGGTTTCAAGGGGCCCCCATTTTCTCCATTCCCTTACAAATTTAGTCTTCAGTGGATTAGGGAATTTGAAATTATAAGAGCCGCATGGCCTAGGAGTTGCCTGATGCTAGTCCCTGAGACTGTCATTCACCCAGGTCATTGTCCCCACCTCATTGTATGTGGTGTGAGTGGCCGTCAGCACATGGGGCTCGTGCTGGGGTTTCCTTCCTGTCTTTCAGCGGAGTGTGCCCTGAATTCAGAGTCCCCAGACAGAAAGGTGGCAAGCAGACAAAACAGAAGATAGAAAATGAACACAAGGATGCTGTGGGGAGGAAGGTTGTGATGTAGTACTAATGCGAGAGAACAGTTTTGGTTCTGGCTCTAATTTTCTCCAAAAAGGTGCACTATAAACAAATGAATCAGTTTAATTCACAGTTCAGAGAAGAAATGTGTATGGCCAATAAATAATTACAAGATGCTCAACCTGACTGGTGACCAGGGAAATACAAATTAAAACAATAATGAGATATTTCATACTCATCAGATTGGCCAAAAGTAAAATATCTGACATTACCAAGTGTTGGCGAGGATGCGGGACAACAGGTGGTGTCATACAGTGCTGGTGGGGAGGGTAAATTGTTTGACCCATTTGAAGAACAAAGAGGCGGTAA